ATTCATAGTCTTGATATTTATTGAGATAAATAATATATATTTTGAGATATATAATCTATATATAAATAATATATATTTTATAAATATATATTCAATAATATATATTGAATATATATTGAAATAATATATATTTCTCTACAGCTTCTCAAATATTAAATATTATCAATTTTTTATTTTTGTCAATATAATGTGAAAGATATCATTTAAAATATGCATTTTTTTTTTCTGATCCAAGTTAAGCTGAGCTTACTTAATTTTGCTTTGGTCAACTTATTTCTTATGGGAATTTGTTATTCATGTTCTTTACACATTTTCATGGAGTCGTTTATTTTTTCACGGGGTGATTTAACTTTTATGTAAAAAAATTTTTTTAAGTGTATTTATTTATTTTGAGAGAGAGAGGAGGAGGGAGGGGTAGACAGAGAGGGGGAGAGCTGGAATCCCAAACAGGCTCCACATTCTCAATGCAGAGCCCAACGCTGGGCCTGAACCCTCGAACAAGGAGATCACAAACTCAGCCAAAATCAAGAGAGGGTGCTTAATTGACTGAGCCACCCAGGCACCTCTCAATTATTTTGTAATTATATAATTTTTTGATTTGTATTTGATGTTGTATTTGTTGCAAGTATTTTTCCCAGTGTATACCAAAATTTGGGTTTTGCTTATGATTCCATTAGTTATATGAATCTTTCCATTTTTATTCGAGAATTGATGAATTTTTATAAAATATTTCTTTCTTGATGTGCTTGGAGATATTTTCATTTTGTTTTCCTTTAATCTGTTGAAGTTACAAGTGTTAGTAATGTATTCCCAACATAAATCCTACTTGCTCTCCCAGGATAATGAAGACGGTTACTAATTAAGTGCTGCATATAGGCCCTATTTTAAACACTCCAAAGAAATTAGTTTGCTGTCTCCGTTTTACTGTACAAACAACAGGACACGGAAAAGCTTGTGCAGTGAGTTAGAGCTATCACTTTGGCTCCAGGGAACATGTCTTAACTACTCTGCTGTACTTGTCATTTTCTGTTTAATAATCAGTTCTAGACACATGGCTGGAGTGTATTCATTTTTTATCAGTCTATACATTGTGAAATTGTCTATAAATTGTGGCATACATTTTTATGCCAATTCAAACAAAATATTGCCTTGCCACTTTTTATAATTCTACGGTAAATGTAAGTCATAATTCTGGCATCACTTCAAGTCAAATTAAAAATAATTTATATACAATAGGAATTAGACTCATGTAAGTTATGTGTGCTTCAGATATTTTCACCTAAGGGTAAGTAAAAGATGCACTTTATACTCCTTACAGTATTTATTGCAATAGAAAATATTGGAAATAACCTAAACGTCAGTCAGTTGGACACTGGCCAAATATATGGTGGTGCATATATACATTGGCATAATATGCACCATGAAAAAGAAAGAGGCAACTCTAACTGTTCTTTTATAAGCTCACACTAATGTCTAGTGTCACACTAATCAAAAAGGCAAAATTAGGGGCGTGTAGGTGGCTCAGTCGGTTGAGCGTCCAACTCTTGATTTTGGCTCAGATCATGACCCCAGGGTCATAGGATCAAGCCCCACATTGGACTCTGCGCTCAGTGTGGAGCCTGCTTAAGATTCTCTCTCACTCCGCCCCTCTCCACCACTTGCTCTTTCTCTCTAAAAAGAAAAAAAAAAAAAAAGAAAAGGCAAATTGTATTCAATTCTTATGTACCATTTGTGTGAAAATAACTGCCTGCTTTTTTACGCATATATGCTAATATATGTATAGAAGGGATGTCTCTGGAAAGCAATATTTAAAAACGTAACAGTCATTGTCTCTTTTATAGGGAACTAAATATCCGGCAAACAAGGAATGGTGGGGAGGTGTACTTTTCTCTCTATATCCTTTTGTAGAATTCTATGTTATATGAATAGGCTAGCTAGTTAAAAATTTTAAAGATCATTAAAATAAAAATAAGGGGGCACCTGGGTGGCTCAGTCGGTTGAGTGTCTGACTTCACTCAGGTCATGATCTTGCAACTTGTGGGTTTGAGCCCCTCATTGGTCTCTTTGCTGACAGCTCAGATCCTGGAGCCTGCTTCGGAGCCTCTGTCTCCCTCTCTCTCTGTCCCTCCCCCACTGGTGCTTTCTGTCTCTCTCTCTCTCTCTCTTTCTCTCTTTCTCTCTCTCTCTCTCAAGAAAAGAATATATATATATAAAACAAAAATAAGGATTTTTAAGACAACTCACCATTTCTCATTGCTATTTAATTTCCTTTTAGTAGTGTTTATTTTATCATTTCTAGTTTGAAGTTGTTTGTTTACATAGTATTTTCAATAGGGAAGATATAATTAGTGTCAAATTCACTCTTTTCTATTTCATCGAAACCCATATATCTTCACCTATTGTTAATATAATTAAAAATAAAAGCCAGCCTTTCGAATCACTTTTTTGCTCAGAATCATCAATGACCACATTTTTTCAGAGTATCATCCTCTGTGTCATCAAAAGCATTGGTACCATGAATAATTTTTTTATTTTTTAATTTTTGGTAAAGTTTAATTAATATTTTGAGAGAAGGAGAGAGAGCATGCTCCAGTGGTGGAGGGTAGAGAGAGAGGGGGAGAGCGAGAATCCTGAGCAGGCTCCAGGTGTCAGTACAGAGCCTGATGCGGGCCTCAAACCCAAGAAATGTGGGATCATGACCTGAGCCGAAACCGAGTTGGATGATTAACGGACCAAGCCATCCAGGCACCACTCATGAAGAATTTTTTAAAAGGATCAATCGAAGAATAACAACAACAGCAAACAGAACAACATAAGACTAAAATTTAACGGTGGTGGACACTTTAATCATCTTTACTATTATGTAGGTCTTGTTTACGTCGAGCCCCTATTCGGAAAATGTTGCTGAACGTGTCTGAATCACCAGTTCTCCCAGGCATTTGTATTTTAGACTTATAAAGAATTCTTCACTATTAACACTAGCCGATAGAGTTCTAGATCTTCTATTTTTACTGACATCCCTTCTTCAGATTTTGATGTGTATGTATGTGAGACACCTACATACTGAGAGAGGAGTGATATCAAATGTGCCATGTGATCAAAAGTGTTTTATCATTCTTAATACTTCCTGTTCAAGTGTCAGCACGTGTGAGGTCTGTTAAATATTTGTGCCATTGTTGGGGTTTTGTTGTTTGCTTTGTTTTGTGTGTACTCCTAGTTTACTTGATTCTTAACCAATTGTAACGTCATATATCTGCCATTACAGTATTAAATAGATTTAATGTATCCAGAGTTCCACATTATATCCCTCCCTCACCTTGAACCCCCGACAACCATTGATCTTTTTGTTTTGTCTGTAACTGCTTTTTTCCCAAATATTATGTAATTGGGGTTACACAATAGATAGCCTTTTTTCAGAGTGGTATATTTTTCTTAGTAATATGTATTTAAACTTCCTCCATGTCTTTGGGGATTAATATTTCATTTCTCTTTATTGCTTAATAATATCTAAATGTACAGATATACCACAGTTTGTTTATCCATTCACTCTTGAGAGACATCTTCATTGGTTCCCATTTATAAAACTTCTATAAACATTTATGTGCAGATTTCTTGTGGGCCTAGATTTTCAATTCATTTGGGTAAAGATGTTAGAGTACAGTTGCAGGATTGTGTGGTGAGACCATGTCCCTGGGTAGAAGACCGCTATCTCTTTCCTGATGTTTTGTTTTGGTTTTTTTCTGTTTTTATTTTTGCTTTTGGATGTGCTCCATCATGATAATCTGTATTATGAACACATCATTTCTAATCTTTACATCTCATTTTACTCTTTGTCATCACTGAATGCCTTCCTTATTTTTTTGTTCATATTTTGAGGTATGAGACTTTGCAACAAATGTTCTACTTTTCACAATTATGAACAATTACACGTACTCTCTTATATTAAAAATCCAATAAAGATGGCACGGATTTGAAATTACAAATGAAAACATCATGCGTACATGTTATAACATTATTATTATTTAAACTATTTTATTGAAAACATAATATATTAAGTCAATATATATTATAGTTAAAATCATTTATATAAATTCATAGAGGCATTTAAAACAACAAAATATATAAATTTTATCTTCCAAATTTTAATATAAAAGCAATATTGCTGATGCTATATTTCAAATAAAAATTAAAACATATGGCTAGTTAGGGGAAAAAGCTACTTCATGTCATAATTTTATTTAACAAAATATTTTTAATTTATTTCCCGAAATAAACTGCACAATCACATTCAAAATTTGGACTTTTCTATAACAGTTTTGATGAGAAAAAGCATCTAGACAAAATGGAATTTCTTCTTTCTACTTTTTTCTGAGTGAAAATTACATGATGAATTTAAATGAAAAAATTCTTAGGGATATTCTTTTATTTTTAATATTTATTATTGAGAGAGAGAGTGAGAAAGCACAAGTGAGGGAAGGCAGAGAGATAGAGAGAGACACACAAAATCTGAAGCAGGCTCCAGACTCTGAACTGTCAGCACAAAGCCTGTCACGGGACTTGAACCCATGAACCATGAGATCATGACCTGAGCCAAAGTCGGAGGCCCAATCCACTAAACCACCCAGGCGCCCCTTTTTCTTTTTTTTTTTAAATTTGTTTAATGTTTATTTTTTAGAGAGAGGGCACATGTGGGAGGGAGGGAGAGAGAGAGAGAGAGTGCATAGGGGAGGGGCAAAGAGAGACAGAGAGACAGAATCCCAAGCAGGCTCCACACTGTCAGGACAAAGCCCCAAGTGGGGCTCTATCCCATGAACTATGAGATCATGACATGAGCCAAAGTCCTATTCTCAACCAAATGAACCACCCAAGGACCCCATAGTATTCTTAATATGAGCATGCTGGATTTGAGGAAGGGATTAGTGGAGATTCTAAACTATGTTTCATAATGCATCAATTTTTTCATTATTTGGGTAAGGTTTTTTGTTTGGTTATTTTTCTAGGAAAGATGGATCAAAAGAACCAATAGTGGAGATGAGAACAGAGGATGAAAGAATTACTAACCATGAGGATGGGAGCCCAGTAAATGAGCCAAATGAAACCACACCATTAACAGAACCTGAGTATGTAGCTTCAAATGCTTAATTATTTTTCGATAAATATTTGTAAAACAGTAGCATATATTTACAATAATATCATTTGTGGAAAAGTATTTCTCTTTCAAAGAAAATACATGTGAGTATTGAAAATCCATTTTCTACTGAGACATTCCACATGAAAATTTTGTAAGGATGCCAGAGAACATCTACTGTTCAAACATACAGTTATAATTTGATGTAAAAATGTCAAAAAGCTGGAAGGTTTTAGAGATGAATTTTCTTACACTTATGTTACTCTTTAAGAAAGTAATACTTTCAAATGCGTTTTTAATTTAAAATAAAAATTAATAGTGTGAAATATACAAAAGTCTACTTTAAAAAGAAAGATTATTGGTTAGGAAGAGGACTAAATAGTGTTAAATTGTCTATCATTTTAATGTCTATATAGTAAATGGTGCTTGCTCTCCATTCAAGATTATATTATTTACTTCTTTCTACACCTATTAGAGCTCCGTTATAGCCATAGCAGCTATTTCAATTCAAAGATGATGAACATGTGCAAAGATGATGTTCAGGCACATGAAAGTTAAAATGATTAAAGCCAAAGGCATTATTAAGGAGTGATAATAGTATTCTATGGAATCTATTGGATACTAACAAAAGCAGGGCTATCACATTATTCTTTAAATTCTGCTCACTAAAATGACTTTTAAGTTTTATTTTTTTATTTTTATTTTTTATTTTTTATTTTTGTTTTTTTGTTTTTTTAAGGATCCTTTTTTCTTTAGCAGCAAACATTCCCTTGCAGAGAAATTTGATTTAGGCTTCTCATCCTAAATCTGAAGATGAGTGTTGTCACAGGTGAAGAAAATAACTTGTTTCAGAAATCCCTCCTATCTACTCTCAAGGGGCTGAAATAATTACAATTTAGAGAAGTACAAAGCACTACTCTGCTGCTAAAATTTCAGTATAAATCCTCAGGTCATGTCAGTGACTGCGTTTAGAGATTATTACCTTCTATATTGAAGTTTACTCTTATAGAGGCAGCTTTTATGTGGTGGGTACTATATGCTTCCCCATTAGAAATCAGATGTATTTCAAATGAAGCAAAATACTACACAACAAAACAAATTTCTATCTATTAATGAACACATTCAATGAGAGATTGGTGTGTGTGGAAATTAGCCAAGAAATGTTAAGGACTTACAGTGTTATAAAACACTGTAAGCGATAAATCACTATATTCTTCTCCTGAAACGAAGACTACACTATACATTAACTAACTTGAATTTAAATAAAATCTTGGAAAGAGAAAGAAAGAAAGAAAGAAAGAAAGAAAGAAAGAAAGAAAGAAGAAAGAAAGAAAGAAAAAATCTTTAAACTTCAAAAAAAAAATTCCAGCTAAGAATTATCTTACACGTGACAGGGCTATGTTTTGCAAAAATAAAACAAAAACAAAAGAAAAAAAGATGTTTTAAGAACTACTCCAGTCCTCAATTATTGAAAAGAAATACTCAATATAAAAATAATAGAATTAACTATAATCTAAAAAAAACAATTTAACAGAAACGTAAGTAGTGAAAAATTAGATACACAGTTATTCATTGTCCAAGAATTAGTTGAAAACACTGGTGAATTTCAAACTTCATACGTAGTTCTTTAAGTAAGAGATATGTTAAGCATTATGCTAACCATCCACGCTCTAAATTTCTCTGTTTTGCTGCTAGAAGTGACCCATTGTTTTTATCTTCTGTTGTCAATGTGTGCAGTACTTGGGAATGGGAGAAGGTAAGAAAGGTAATAGCACTATTTATAATACACATAGAAGAGCCTGCCCTCGTGGGTACAAAGTAGAAGCTATTTCATTCTCAGCAGTGAGCCGTAGTAGTTTTTACCTGTGACTTACTTTTGATTGGTTAGTTTTCACATAATAGCTTTGATCTTCAGAATACAATGGCTTGCTCTTCTCCTTCAAAAATAGAAAAGAAATTATAAGTAAATCCCAGAGAAACTAGTATAGTAACATTCACTACCCCACAAAACGGCCAGGTTAAGTATAGAACCAAATTTGAATTTTTGTTGTTGTTGTAGAAAAAATATTTTGTCAAGGGAGGGAATTTGACCCCCAAGGTTATATACACAAGGCATAATAGTAAACCAGCTCAAGACTGGTAGAAAAAAACTGTAAATCTTACATAATTGTCATCACAGTAAGATTTGTGAAGCTGTCTTAATATTAAGAAATAAAGGTTGTTTTGCTTCATAGGTTATAATTGAAAACAACTCTCAAAAATATGCTCATAGATGATACAGAAATAACACAAAAATAATAGTGGAAAGAGACCAATTAAAGAAAACATATGCAGTAACTGTAGAAAAGTGAGAAAATGCTGAAATATATTTACTTTCATAAGTTCCAAAGAATAGAGCTCATTCACCTAGCTTTTGAAGTTTAGATGTAACAATATGGCAGCGACTATTCATTGCTTTTATCTACAAAAAACAAAAACAAAAAAACCCGATTTAGGTACTAGTAATTCATCTAGTTGACATATAAGATTACTGGCTTTTTGAGATTGCAAACAATTATATTTTTCATATCAATAAGTGATTATCAAATCTAAGCCACCCTATGGTGAAAGTTTTGGTACATCTAAATCCACAAGTTTCATTCATCACTCTGCAGTATGTCAGATCTTTAAAGTAGACAATATTGTCTAATTATTTACTTATTTTTCTATCAATTTGCTATTACTAGAACAAATCTTTTTTTTTTCATTCTAATAATTGTCGATATTTCCTTCTGTAAAACAGTAACTTAAATATTAAGAAATACCACTTAAATTGCCTTAGAAAATGAAATTTATTATTTTTCTATTTTCTTCCAGAAAATTGCCTTTGAAAGAAGAAAATGGAAAAGAAGTCTTAAATCCAGAAACTATAGAAATTAAGGTTTCTAACGACATCATCCAATCAAAAGAAGATGACAGTAAAGCATAACACCGAGATTACAGAGTTTAAACAACACTACAAAGAGCATTTGGATTGCAGTGACCCTATGACCAAAACTATTCCATTGACCTTAATTTCTTGGGAAACTTCTAGCTTGGAATAGCTTGTACACATATACATATGATGAAATATTCCTGCCCATGGTCCATTATCTTTTGTTGTTGTCGTTGTTATTGTTGTTGTTTATTTTTTTATGAATTTCAATATAGAGACCTGACTGGCACCACCTCCTGGGTATCAATTTAATTCTGTGATTCAAGTACTGCAATTTGTTATACAGCTGAAGTGCTCTGTTTCTTAAGAACTATATATTTCATCCAACAACCTCTCCAACACACAGGGGTTTAAGAAAAAAAAAAAACACGAAAGAAAAAATCTTTGTGAGCTAAATGTGTAAGAAAGCCCTGCATGTTTTTAATCTTATCTTGGGCAAATAGATTATTAAAGTGGATTTCAGTTTAAGATGAAAGCAGTTAATAAAGGTTACACTTTTTATCAGGAGAATTTCAGGGAACTTGGGCTTGAAGGAGCCAGTTATCTTTAGCAGATATTAAAAATTGAGAGAAACTTTGGAAATTTCTTTTTAAGTTATAATTACAGTGCTATTTCAATGTTCATTTTTGATAGACTAAAGTGCCAGATTAAAATTGTTACCCATCTGAAAGAATATTTGTGTGTATAATTAGATTAGAAGGATTCCGTAAATCTCTATCGCTTTATATATGCCATAATCACTCACTATGGATTACACAAAACAATAAATGTATTGCAAGTGAAAATAATATTGATTTCTGCCCTCAGCTTCAAATAAAGTAAATTCAAATGGTAACAATATCAATGTTGTCTTGATATATTTATAAATCTGATTATCTTTTGCTTTTTAAATAATTTTATCAAAAAAATTAGTCATTAGTGTTCAAATCCTTTAAACTCAGATACATTTTTTTTGACCATGATTTTAAATAATCTTTGTTTAAAACTTTATTTTGCGAATGTTATAGGTCAGTTATTAAATGTAATTGGCAAATAGAAATTAAAATCCTTAGTGGTTAAATTAAGAAGAAATTAACATTTAAACATTCCACAAAAGTGTCAGTGATAACCGACTGAATTGTCACTGTTTTTCTTTTGGATGTTGTAGCTAGAAGCCATTTTAAGGTTTTGATGAGCAACTTTGGTTGGAGAAATTCCTTGGCTATTCAACACAGTGTTTCTAACATGACTTGTTAAAGCCTATACCAGAATAAATACTTATTAACTTCCAAGCTATGCAAACTCCCAGAGGTAAAAGCCTGAAACATGATTTTCACTTATATGGGAGGTAAAATAAATGTATTTATGGTTATAAATATACATACCAGTTGGGAGCAGGTTTTAAATTATTTCTTACCCTAGAGAGCAAAAGGTTTCTTTGGGCCCCGTTACATTCTTAATCTTTAGTATTTCAGGTGGTATTATGGCTCAGATCCTGGCTGGTTGGGGAATGCGTACCAATAGAACATTGGAGGAAAGTTTCCACAGTGAGGAGCAACTTGCTTAGCATGTCTCTCTATAAAGATAATTTGATGAATATTAGATGTAATATTAATCCTACCCATGGACACTTCTATTTACAAAGTGTTTGAAACTGTCAGGCAAGGAAAGAGAACTTTTACAAAACTTTAGTTATCAGCAGGGCAGATCCTGCCCATCTGCATGTTCGTGCACTAAATCTCCAGTGTCCTTAGCATAATTCACAGGATTATAGTGCAGGAAACTCTCCTAGCTATTTTTTTTTTCTGGCATATTTTCAAGAAAAGGAATTCCTGGGCCTACCTAGGAATTTGAGTAGAAATTATCCAACTGGTCTTTTGATGGATTTGACTGTTGTTATTTAAGTTATGTTTGTCTGATCACCTATTTGCTTTATTTGACGGTTTTCCCCCCTTTTGTACCAATGTGCTATAACTAGTCAAAATACTTGAATTTGTTTGTGCAAAGTAAAGGGGCTTAGTAAAGTGTCCATGAAGCAATAGCCATGAACGCTAATTTTTCCTGGGTAGGGCTACATGGTTTTAAACTAATAATGGTGAAAGAATTAGAAAACCTGGGAAACCAGTTTAGCATGTTTACTATTATTATATTTGTGCTACTTCAAGAGCAGAGAAATCATAATAAAGAACAAATATTTTTGTGTTTCCTCAATCTGAAAGTTCTGTTTCTCTCATTTCTATGGACTTTCCACGTAAAGCCGTTTACTTAAATATTTCTTTTATATAAATATATATATACATATACATATATATGCTGTTAAATTTCTTGCCACTAATGTGGAATAATGATCTGAAGTTAGCAGATAATTTGAAACTAATTGTAGACAGATTGTTTCAAGTGCACTGTTTCAATTGTCTGAGTGGTCCTTATCTCTTGTCCTTGAAATCTATGCCATGCAGGAGCAAGGCAATACTGTGATTTAAAAAAAAAAAAAAAAAAAAAAATTAACATTTCAATGGAATGCTCCAACTTAATCTATTTGTAAAAGTCTCCAAATAAGCGATGCTTGTAGTAAATTGTAAAATATGAGTAGAACTGAAATAATCTGTTCTTATTTTTCATTCTTATTCTAGATTAAACATACCATATAACTGTATAAATGTTATTTTTACTGTCCGAGAGTACTCTTAAACGTATAAAATGTCAAAGGAGTTGACTGAATAAAAGTAGGGTTAAATATTCAGAACCCTATTCTACTTTAAACAAAGAAGAAAAACATCACTGAAAATATTGGTATTTCTTGATAGGTTGCTTAGGTGCAATTAGGCAATGACAATCTATATTCAGCAACATGTAAGAAGGAACAGTAATATCATTTTTGACGCGTTTTGTCTTTTAACTGGCACAAACTGATGTGTCGACACATTTTACAATGATCTGCAAAAGAATTTAAGCATTGTGATTTCTAAAGATTTATTTATTATTTTTGTGGGTTGACTTATTGCCATTTTATTGATGCTAATGTCTGACATTAATGTAATGTTTCTCAAAATTTCCCTTAATATTTAATATTAATACCTATAAAAGCATTTTTCAAAGGTTATTTGATCCAGCAAAGTTTACATGAATCTTAGTCTTTGATTTAAACATTTATATAAATAGGATTTTATTGATCAAATTATTTATTTGAGTGCCAACAATTAATTGTAACTTTATAATCATACCTTTATTTTATGCTTCTTATTTAAATAATTAAGATATATTTGTGCCTTTGGATTAGCATGACATTCTGCTTTATTAAAAGAAAAAAAAAACAACTGCAATCTTTATTGATATATTTTGCTCATATCTGTGACACTTAAATTGTACTCTTATTTACATTTAATCAAGAAGCTCAATTCAAATCACTTTACTTGAGTAAAATATCTAAATATAAAAAATTATAGTGTGTAACTTATTTCTATTCATGACAATTCTTTTGATGCACACAAAATATGTTTCATTTTGTCTGTACTGTTGTTCTAAGTAATAAATATGTTCCAGATATTGTTAAAATTGTGTTTTACTGCTTGTTAGACAAAGACAACAGATGACTTTTTAAGATAGGATAAATTATTTTAGTGTTACTTGGGTCTGCATTATCTGATGTATTTATCCTGATGATTTATTTGGGGATCATAGATCATCCTTTATTGTTGATGATAAGATAATCACTGATAAAAATATCTACAACTGAAATGATAGAATACTCTCCATTTCTTAATTTGAGAAATATAGGAATAGCATATTACAATTACTTATTAACGTTACAATGGTCTTTTTCTTGAAGAATAATGTGAATGCTCAATTTCAATTGCTCACAATTGATTGTGGAGTTCTTTCTCACAATCATATCAAGAGTGCTTACTTGACAAACTTTATGAGTACATGAAGATATTTTTAAAATGATTTTTTTTGCATTATCTGTCTTTAGAGAGGAAAGGTTCTCATTTTCTAACTCATTCTTTGAAGCATTATTACATTGTCTCTTACGCTGAAATTGCATATGGAAGTATTAGTATGCTAAAATTAAACTGTGGAAGGTCACGGAAATGAAGTACTTCAATCCAAAAATGGAAATCTTTCAAGAAAGTATTCTATTCATGGGCTTAATCACATTCTGAGATGAAACAATTATATGTGTAAATGGGAAACTTACAAGAGCCTAGATATAGTACTTGCTGAATAAATATAATTTCCAGGTCCTTCCTCTCCCTTTTTTAAAAATTGCATTTACTCGTGTGGATGCAGCTGTTTAACAACATTATACAAGAATGCTAATAGATTAATTATTTCCCCTTGTAGACTTTTGTATTATATATAATCCTTAATATTTATTTGATAACACATTTAATATTCTTAAAAAATAGCTCATTATTCTCTATAGAATTTTATCAATAACTTAAATACCTTAGCTGGTAACACCACTTTACTTTTTTAATATAATTTTCAGGTTGGCCCACATCATGTTCATAATTATGAATAAAAAAACTGGTTATAGAAATTCAATATTGCCACTTTTTTTTTTCTAAAATGAAAACACAGAAAACACACTAAAAGTAGCATCTGGTTTTAGCCCTCCTTGGAAAAAAAAAATTAAGCAAATGACTCGGAGCACTTCAAATCACAGCCAGGGATAGGAGAATAGAGGAACAAAGACTGAGAATCCAGAAAGGCAAACTGAACTTCTACGTTTGAGATAGATAGGAAGGACATCAGTGGGAGAAGTGCTGGACCAAGGACTATGAACGCTGATTAGGTAAAAATTGAGGCCAATTATACTGATGCGAACAGAAAATGTATTGAAATCCAGAGGAGAAGAAGTTAACATAGACAGAACCTAAGACTCAATTTTGCAGATAGGATTTTTTTTCGAGAACCATATGCATTATATAATATAAATGGTACTGTTAAGCGCAAATATATTTGTTCCAGTTCTTAAAGGAATGTTCATGGCTTAGCATTTTTGCTCTAAA